TGTGATTGTCTCAGGTAAATTATTTAATGATATTATAGTTTTCATTATGATTTGAAAATCAGTGATTCAACATAGGTAAATTTACATGTATAATGAAATACTCGTAATTATGATAAATCCGCATAGTTAATCAGATTATCATTGTGCTAAGTGCAAAGAAGCTTATATTTAAGTAAGCAGATTATTATAATTAATAATGTAAAACAGGGATTCTCAAAGTGGTCATGCATGAACGATTTCCCATAAACCAAAAGTGAGTTTTGAGTCGATGAGATCTGTAAGACGATCCTCTTTTATTCTCTCTCTCTCTCACTGTAGTTGGCCTTTCATGACCGAGGATCGTGGCCATCATGGAGTAATACCACATTTAAATTGGTCTATTCGTCTCCGTCGGCTTCTGTCCATCGCATCTCTAACAATCATGTGGAACTTGGCGATAAATGAGTTTGGCGATAAATCTGTCCATGGGGTTGGTGACCGGCCTTTAGAACATTTCCACTTTTACTAAAAAACAATTAATATAAGTTATTTTTGGATACTCTCTTGATGCATATATACTGTCTGTTCGGTTTAAGTTAAATGTCTATTTATTTTGTTTAACTGATGAGAAAATGATATCAAAGTTACTCAACTATCTGCAAAGTTTTTAAACTGTCAAGTTATTCACACAAGGAAAAAACTAGAGATAGGAACTTTGAATTATTGTAGCAATCTCGTATCAATTAATTTTTAAACAGGAATCTTTTGTCCATGAGACACTGGTAAATCCTGATACAAAGTACAATAACTAACTAAAATCACTATAAGTTATACATAAAATCTAACTAAACATGAAAGAAATAACTTTTATTATAGTTTAGCTAAATGAAGCCTCATTGCAATCTGAATACCGATCTGTGGAACATTTGTAAGAGAGATCCCCCGAATGCAATGAGCATTTTTTTTAGCCAAGACATAATACAACTTGTTTCTTTCATTTTTGTAATAGAGTTTTTTTTTTATTATTAAATATCTTTTTTTTCCCTTTAGTGAGCAGTTAATTGCATTAACAAATTATATACTCTAGTTTAATAACTATGTTGGTATAATAAAAATATACATATTTTAATATTTTATAAATGGCGTTTTACTCTGCCTTTTTTAGTGTATTTTATAAACAACACAACACCTTTTTTTGGACAGTACTGTAAAAAGTTATCTGAAATGCAGAATCTGCCTGATCTGTTTCATCACAAATTGAATTGTGTAAGCCAATTTCGAACCAATTCTCAAACTATGATTTTGTACAACAAAAAGCATTAAGATGCAAATTGGTACAAGCATAACAAGAAATTAGCATTACGAACGACAATATTGTACGGTGACTCAGCGCAGCCCATCGACTCGGCTGTATTGTGAGTGACGCAAGCGTACAAGCAATGCCAGTCGACAAGTAGACTAGCGAGCCCGCCCAGACCCTCTGTCAATAGCCGTGAAATTCAATTATAAAAATTGGGGTCACCGGCCTAGAATGTGACACAATCACGGTCGAACCCCACACTTATTTGATGACAAGTAATGTAATATACGTAGAGGCATTAATGTGTTAAAAATATCGACCTATCGATCTATAGTTTGTTCTTGAGACAGACGAAAAATGGACATTAACACAGATATTAAAATAAGCGTCAAAAGAAAGCGATATGGATCCCTGTTTTTGTTGTGCAGGGTTTTATAAGGTCTCTGAACCCAACCCATACTGTAGGTTACGTTACGTGTAGGTAATGTTCAACGCTCAAATAATACTTTGGGTTATGCCTGTTGATCAGAGTATAGAAGATAACAGACTCTCGGTCAGTTGCACAAACGTCCATTAACGTTTAATGACGCCTTTAAGCTCTAATGAATGTCAAATTTGTATGGGTAATGTCGCTTTAAACTAATGCAATTTTTAATGGACGTTTGTGCAACTGGCTGTGTAAGGACTAGTGAGCCACACGAGCAAAATGAGTTCAACCATACAAGTAGAACTACAGTTTAAAAAATACGTATATCCCGTTATTTAATTTTATTTTCTATGTTAACTACAAATAAAATATGGTTACTAGCTTTATTTATCCCATGGTAAACTATTTGTAACTGTTTTCACATTTAATGTAATTGTAAAATTTATGAGTAAATAATTAAAAACGCAACTAATACCTGTAATGACCACGACGAAAAGGTTCGCATGCGTATTTATCAAATTAAAGTAAAAAAATATTTTTTTATTATTTATTTGAGAAATAGAGTAATTGCTTGCCAAAACACATCAAGATGAAATAAAATCAAACAAAACATAAATTTAGCCGAGATTTATATTGCCTAGGAGCCTTAAGCAGGATATTCCGACGCTGCCTAAAGGTCCAATAAAACTAGTGTTTTGTTATTTTGCAAAAAAGCTTTATGAAAATGAAATACATTAATGAAAATGAAGTCTCCGAAAATGTGTAATGCTAAAACGATTCCTCCGATGCACATATAATCTTCAAGCTTGTGATTAGAACAAAATTGAGTCGATACATCGACAGCCGCATCGAATAATTACACGTTTATTCGATACGAATATCGCTGTGCTGTTACACAATTTTTTTTTGCTGAGTCTGAGTTCTGCGGTGATATGTAAAAAGATTGCATATTACTTTTTGAATGCTGAGACCTAAGAGTTAATTAGACAAACTATATAGAAGATATCAGCCTATATGAGATAGGCATGGGTCTAAATAATTTATGAACAACAAGATACCGAGTGAGGATGGAATCATATCATAACAATCGCCTCTTCTTAAAATACTTCAAAGGATATTCGTTTTCATCATCTAAGAGCACACGTGTACTGGTCTTATTTAAAAAAAGTGACAAAAGCAACTTGAAAATCTTCAGGTCTATATCGTTGAAGAGCCATGTTGACCTTTAACTTCCTGAGCAAGTCGGTTTCCGAAAGAGCTTTAACCTATAATCCACATACTGCACACCAAATATGTAATCTGAAAAATCGAGGAGTATAAACTGTAACTATGCTTGGCGTTAGTGGCCAACAAAAAAGTTTTTGCTTCTGTCGAAACCTAGGTAGAGTTGCAGTCACTCCAGCGGTGGCAAATTGACTATCGTTACATTAAAACGTTGAAATAGTTATACGAAAACATCACTATGTCAGTTCACCTCCATAATCAGAATTTGATGTACTGGAACCGGCATCAGCATCAACGGCATATATATGATTCACCTTCGATTTGCCGATAATATCGTAATCATGGCTAAGACTTTAGAAGAGCTTGACACAATGCTCGAAGGCCTTAGGAGAGTTTTTCTAGAAATTTATCTCAAAATGAATATGGACAAGATGAAGCTCACATCTAATGTCCAGGTTATAACTACTCCCTTAATACTTGGGAACTCTACACTCGAAGATGTTGATAATTATATCTAGATGGGGCCAATTTCGAGAAAATGTCAATCTTGGAATCTAACTCGGATCGGGAAATTCCAATGTGTCATTTCGAATACCGTAGTGTCTCTAAACAATGGTTTTTAGCTCTCTATGTTCTGTGGTTTTTAGCCACTGTGTGTTGTCAGTGATGTCGTATAACACTGAGAAACGTTTTGAGTGATTGATCTTATTTATGAGCCTCATAAATAAGCTCAAAGTCACTTAAAGACAAATGTAGAGGGGTATGAAAGTGATCGATAGAGCCAAAAGAATTACTTATCTGAAGTAGCAATGGGCCGAGCACACAACTCATAGGACTTTACTGCCCTCACAACTATGTTTTAAGATTTAAATGAGAATATAGAATTATAGTAGTTCTCAGTTTTGCTGTGCACTGAATTAGATTTAAGTTTCTTCTATATATTTCTGGCATGGAAAAGATAAGTAAGTTAAAAAAAAATGAAATTAAAAAAATAGTTACTGTTAATCCCATTAACATATTAGGATTCCTATGATAAAATCTATGTTAGAAATTACAAGATAGAGAAAGATAGGTAATTATTAAAGGCATTTTCTTATTATTTACAAGTACAATAACTATTTCAGAGCAAAACGATATCGTAAAAACTGTTTACATTCTAAATATATATATATTTTTAACAACAATTAAAGTGCAACAGCTTAGTATATATAGATCACATTTAAGTGTATAATAATATGCAAAAATATTATACGGAATAAAAGGAAAACACTACCATAAACAAGGTAATGTGGATTTAACCCTAACGAGCTCTATACCTTTTACACGAATAAACGTGAAAAGTGCTGTTGCAGGAACATGAAGATATCACTTGCACTACAAAAATAGAAGGATTTATCGCAAATTTCTGCTTTTCTTTTAATGTTTCTTAGATAATCATGATATGAAATACATAATTAAAAAAGTTTTTATTTTTACTGTAAGGTTGTATTTTTTCACTTGCACGTTTGTTCGATGCGGCCGCCGACATATCAAACGTGTTTAAGTCACAGCTAACCAAATTTTGGTAAAACTGTGTTGCTTGCTGCTGTCTGAATTTATTTAGTGAAAATTGCCAAAATTTTCAAATTAACGTCCACGGCTACCACTGTGGAAAAAAGTAAAACAACTATTAGATTTTTAAGTAATCCCGTTTTTATTTTATAGCGACTGTTGTAGACTTAGGCAGTTTGATATGTAGTAGTCAAAAAATAAGAAGCCTTCGATTTTTTAAATTTTCCTTATATTGGTATGTATAAAACATATTTTGCAGTTTTAAAGAAAAAATAAGGTATGTGGATGGAAAATAGGAAAAATGTTCCGTGATTTGATGCAGGCACGCGAATAAGTAATTTAAAACACTCCAATGAAACATCGAATAAGAAGAACGAACACCAACATTTTATTTTAAAAAAAATATTGGATGTATGGAGTAGATCCCTTTTCTTTCAAAAAATATAATGTATATGTGACATGTTCACTGATATTGACAGCAAACTAATGACAAGGCAGCATGGTCTATGACCTTAGCTTGTTCCAAAGAACGAATAAAAAATGACATTGACAGCTATTCCCCGACTTTATTTGTGTTAATGTTTTGCGATTTAAATCCTGATATTTGTTATTAATTATTAATAAAATGATTACAAACTTTGATAAGCTTTGTACAGAATTGGAAAAGCAAGAACTTGAGGTACATCAATCTACTTTATATTAAAGAATTTATAATCCAATGGTATATATTGGATATGGTATAATGGTATATAGTTTAGGTTATTCGTTAACTACGAATAATGTAAATCGGGTAAAATATATTGCCTTATGTATGTTGCCCTTATGATATATAGCCTTTGATATTTTCTTTGATATTTACTTACAGGCTCCCACAGGTGTAGCATCGCCCTCAACGTATGCTCAGCTGCTTGCCATATATCTGTATCAAAACGATCTGTAAGTATTTTAAAGAAATATCATATATATTAAAATAACAAAAATGTTTAGTATGAATTATATTTTATACGAATATAGTAACCCAATATTTAATTCTAATTATATACTATATGATGTATTTTTACATTGCTTGTATACAAGTATAAGGGTTATACCTACACCTATACCCTTTTTTAAATATTCATATTGATTTTCCAGATGCAATGCCAAATTTCTTTGGAAAAGGATACCTCAAAACATTACAAGTAGCAACACAGAGCTAGCAGCTATATGGGCTATTGGACAAAAACTGTGGAAAAAAGATCTTGCTGGCATGTATCATGCAATATCAGCTTATAGCTGGTCAGAACCTGAAGTTGCAAACATTGTTAGGGCCCTTGAAGGTAGATCATTTATTTTCTGTTAGGTAGATATAACTCATTATTGCTCACACACATAAGAATTAGTTATTTGGTTAAAAGTAATTTATAGTAACCATAAGCATTAGTTGGTGTCATGTAGATGGGGGTAAAACAACTAAATATCAGATCAAAGGACTAATTCTTAAATCAAAATCAAAAATGTTTATTTGTCAGCCTTAATCTACAATTTTTAATATATCATTTTTAAACTCAAAAGAAAAGGGAATTATAATCAGGCAAAATTTTCTTAAGCATTATGTATCTGAGATATATGCTATAATAGTTGTATCTTGACCTAAGTATATATGAACAACTTCAAAACGATAAATTTACGGGACAGTGGTTTAATTGAAATATTGGCTGCATTCATGTTACATAATTCCTGCACTACTGAATAGTTATTCTATACAAAATTATCTCAGCAATTAGAAACTGCATGCTGATTTTGTTTTTATTCATGTATAAGATAAGCTTTATAGAAACAATTTATTAAGACAAGAGAATATTCTGCTGACTGTATTTATTTAGAAGTTGTTGATTTGTTATTGTGATAGTATTATAGAGTGACTAGCCAATTTTTTGGCTTATACCTTTGGAATAAAAAGTAATGTGCTCTCATAAGTTTTTGATAGAATAGATATCAACATGATTTTAGCTGTTACATAGCCCTTATATAGAAGGGCACCATTTAACATGCCATTTAGCATGCCTTGTATTGCAATTGAACCATTTTGATATCTGGCTGACTGAAAATCTGTTGGAAAGCTGAAGTAGTATTTCTTTCACCTACTATGATGCTAGATTAATAATAATAATATTATTTCAAAAATTTCGATTTTTAATTATATATTTTTTTTATTATTTATAATCATTTCTGCATTCACAATGCTATACTGAAAAATATATTTAGTGAAAAATGCCAAAAACAATCCAATTTGTTCTATTATAATATTTTGAATGGGTATTTAAGAAACTATTAGACATGATTTAGTGAAGGACAAATAAAACAAAGAACTTTTATCTTTATTTTGCAGTACTATCACTATTTCATCAAACTTTTCTTTTATCCTTATACATTTTAGCTACTCTAGCAAATTGATATTTAAGTAGTTGGCAGAGTATCACCTAGCTGTAGTTACTAGTGATACTGTCCATTATTGCAGTCTGTTACTTGGCTGATGAACATCTAACTGCATAGTTGTATAGCAAGCAACATTCTGCCGAAAGCCTAGCCAAAAATTTTAATATCTATTTTAACCAGTTGGGTGCTCCATATCTACTGTATTATAAAGAGGAAAGTTTGGATTATTTGTTGGTTTGTTTGTATTGAATAGGTTCAAACACTACTAGACTGATTTGGAAAAAAAACCGTTATGGGAAACTGCATAATACGAGGGTGACATACTTTACGTTTGTAAAATCGCAGGAAAGCAACTTATATAATATTTCTATTCTCGACATTGAGTTCCCATATTGAAAACCATTATGATACTTACATACCACTTTACAATAGTGATTTATAAATTATTATTGTATATTTGTTTCTTTTTGATTTCAGAGAAAGTTCGAGAGCGAGCATTTAATTTGATTGGTCGCTCATATAGCTCAATATCACTTGATACAGTAGTATCCATGACTGGTCTGAGTCGAGAGGCTGTACTGCATGCTTGCCGCGATCGTAAATGGGTTATAAAAGATGACGGTGTCACTGTTAACCCAGTACCTCCAACGCAACCAGCACCGCTCCACACATCCAGCGAAGACCAACTGTTCAAGTTAACGGATTTTGTCTCCTTTTTAGAAAATTAAGTAAGTAGTACCGAAAACAGTAACCGGCACTTTGTTTGAACTTATGCAATACTCACTTGTTAATTTAAAAATACAAAAACAAGTATAACATTTATAAATTTTCTTTTATTTTATCTAATATAAGACTTGAGTCATTCAGTAAAAAGTATGCAGTTTATTTTTATATAATAAAAAAATACAAAATATTTTATTACTAACATTAAGTGGCAGTGTACAATTAAGATCTTATTTTCTATAAATAAAGCTGAATATGATCTATAATGGTACTAAGTAATTTCATGTAAATTCCTTATTCTCGATTCAACAATGATATTGATTGAGATATGGATTATTTAAAAATATCACAAGCAAAAATATGATGTTTATTAGTATTAGGGGTTCAGAATATTATCTAAATTAAATGAGTATCTACAGTTTTTTATTCTAGGTACTTTAGAGTACTTCGGCAGCTCATAGGGAGTGCTAGTATGGAGCTTATTGATATCTCTGGAAGGAGACTTGGTTTTGCCTCGGTTGAAGTCTCATGGAGTTGGTATCGTCTTCATCGCCCAATGACGTTTCATATCCACGATTCACTTGACCCCCGTTGGGCTCGGCAAATACATCCTTAACAGAAATATTGGCCGTTGACGTTCTGTGCCGCGGCACACCTAAATTATTGTTGAGCTGAAAAAACCATTATCATTAATAACTAAATTATATGACATAAGTTAGAACTTATTATGAAGCTATATTATCAGCTAGTAACATATTTGTCAGGAATCATGAAGTTCGTGGTGTTAGAGTATTCTATAAAATTAAATATTGGTAGTGATTCTTTTCCACAAAATGAACGTTTAGGATTGATTCATGAAACTGTATTTTCAATTGTGAAAATATCTAAGATAAAGCAAACCTACTACATTTTAATATATAGATTGTTTGCGCCTAGAGGCGCCTTGCATTTTATTAGTAGCAAATTGCCTAAAGTTGCTATTTGATTATAGAAGGCGTTCGTATTAGACGGTGCTTGTGACATAATTTTTATTAATTTTCCTCTCTATCATAAGACCTCGCACTATGTGAATCGAGCTCCACAACTATATAAATTATCATCAAAATAAATAAGTATATTGTGCTGTATTCAACGTTTTATTGAAGAACCAGCACCAGTCTTTTACCTAAACACAGATGTATATAAATATTTCTTTCGTTATCAAATTCACACAAACTAAGATCAAAACGGAGAGGTTCAATTAATGTTGACCTTGTAAAGTTGAAGCAGAATCACGGAATTAATGATATAGTGATACCACCGCATAAACTTCATGATCACGGCCATCATTGGAACATCTATATCTATCTATATATACAAAAATCAATTACTGTTCGTTTACCGGTCCACTTAGCTGATTTTGATTTAGAAATATTTGTCGTAGTCCAGGTAAAAATAGACGCTTACAGATAATACAAAATACACCCGATTCATCTAGTACCATATAATTAACTCTTATTTGAAATATATTAAGTAATATGTTATTCATTTTACCATTCCCGTTACGCCGTATTCGTTGTTGGCACCAAGTGTCTGCATTTGAGATTTCCGTCTCTCTGCCATTACGGAGTTTCGTCTCGTTTCTAAAGCTTTTAGTGTTTCTCTTCGTAAAGTCATTTTTCTATTAAGAACTGGCGTTCCTATCAAAGCAAAATCATTATACAGTTAGAGACTGTATGAAGAATTGCACAATGCTAATATTGTTTTATAATAATGGTTAAAAAGTACACAAAGTGGTACCTCAGGTTACGTCAAATTTCCGCTATTATATTTTGAACCTTTTTGAAATTTCTGTATGTGATTATGCATTACAATAATTACTGACACTACCTTGCCTTTGACTTATTTGTTTACTGGATGTCTTAAGTCTTTGATAATTAAATCTTATAATAATCTTTAAACTTTTGGTTATAAACTTCGACAATTAGTTAACCAGTAGCATATTAGGGGTTAAAGTATGAAATTGCCGTTTCATTGTAATAGGTTCCTTGAATTGACATAGAATCGTAATGGTTTGCGGTTTTCGAAAGAAACTTTTTCACATGATTTCTATGATATTCTTCTTTTAAAAAATGTGAAACATTTGAATATCGACTTTCAATTGTTTTTAAATTCAACTTGGACAAGAAAGATGGATACTGCGAAAATTCGAGTGAATTTTGAATACGTGTTCCGACGCGGAAGTAACACCGCAAAACAGCCCGCAATATCAATGTTACGTTTGGAGAGGGGTCTACTAATGAACGCACCGAGTGATTTTGGTTTAAACGCTTTCGTGATGGAAACTTCGACTTGAAGAACGAGCCACGAGTAAGATCACCCACAAAGGTGAATAACGATGAATTAAGAGAGATGGTAGCAGCAGATCCTAGTCAAACTACCCAGGAATTAGCAGTATGGTTTAACGTTACCTTAGCCACAATATTTACTCATTTGCGTCAAATTGGTAAAATAAAAAAAATACGAAAAATGGGTGCCTCATGATTTGACTGATCTACAGAAAGAAACGCGTGTTGAAACTTGTGTTGCCTTGTTGAATCGGTACAGAAATGAAGGAATATTGGATCGAATTGTGACATTTGGATTCTTTATGATAACCGTAAAAGAAAAATGCAATGGCTAAACCTAGGTCATACGCCACAACAGAGTCCTAAGCAAAACATACCAATAAAAAGGTAATGGTAACTATTTGGTGGTCTCGGCATGGTGTTATTCACTAAAGCTTTTTCCGATCTGATCAAGCAATAACGGCAGATGTCTATTGTGCCGAACTCCGAACAATGTTTTTTTTTTTTTTTTTTTTTTTTATTTCGACTTACAAAACTGATTACAATCAAAAATATAAACAATACAACTTTCACAAAAAAGAAACTGGATTGTAACCTTCTAGATGTAAGTACAACATGCATTTTAAAAATTAAACAATTTTTTCACAGAAGTGACTACAGCCGAAACATAAAATAATTTAAACTACAAAATATTAGTAAAGTTATCATGCTTTTCTCAAGAACCAAAAACAGATCTTAAGCTCTGCCTAGCAGAAGCAATAGACCCGTTGAATATGTCGAAATTAAATCTTATTGATTCATAGCTAGAACACATGCGATATAGCGGTGAATGCTGACCGAGACGAGTTCTACGGAGTGGCAATGTAAATGTTTTTCTGTTATGTATTCGACTCCCAATCCTCGGAACTGTGATCTTTATTTTTTCCAAAATATCAGGGGAGTTAATACAACCGTTCAATAATTTAAATATAAACATAATATCCAATATTTTTCTGCGGTCGTGGAGCTTAATCATTTTATAATAGGATAGACGGGATTCGTAAGTTGCAATTTGACGACATTTATAGTCAGAGAATGCCAGATGATACAAGAAACGCTTCTGCACTAGTTCCAATCTATTGGAATAAACTTGGTAACCTGGATTCCATACTGGACAGCAATACTCTAGAATACTTCTCACTATAGAATTAAAAATAATAATTGTGATATAAGGGTCGCGCAAAATCTTCATTTGTCGAGTGATAAAACCAGATAGCATTGAAGTTTTTTTAATTACAGCATCGATATGAAATTTGAAACTAAGAGAGCTATCCATAATCACTCCCAGGTCGCGAATACAAGATACTTCCGTCAAGGGTATATTCTGTATGCAATAAACAGCGTTAAGTGAGCGCAACTTTCTGGTGAATTTTATATGAAAACATTTTTCCAAATTTAATTCCATTCCATTAGCGCAGCACCATGAATAGATATTATTTAAATCAGCTTGTAGTATATCTATATCACGCTGGCTTCCTATAGTGCGATACAATTTTAAATCATCTGCATACATTTTAAATTTGGAGTCAATATAATTTGAGATATCGTTAATAAAAACAATAAAAAATAGTGGTCCCAAATGAGATCCTTGTGGGACTCCAGAAGGGACAAACCTACTTATTGATTTGTGTCCATATAAGGAAACCAGTTGGGAACGATTTCTCAGGTAAGATTCACACCACCTCAAAAGCGATCCATGTATACCAACCCCTTCCAACTTCGCCATCAATAAGTCATGATTTACAAGATCAAACGCTTTTCGGAAATCTGTGTATATGGCATGAACTTCATCTTGCCTGTCCAAAGCTTCGTAAATATCATTGACGTAGGCAACTAAGTTGGAGGTGGTAGATTTTTGAGGCAGAAAGCCGTGTTGGTCAGCATTCAAAAGACTTTTAACCTGATTATATACGTACTTCTGAACAAATGCTTCAAGAACCTTACCCGCAGTCGACAGTATTGAAATAGGTCTATAATTACAAACGTCGCTTATATCACCATGTTTATGAATTGGCTTTACATGAGCAGTTTTCCAATAAGACGGAAATACTCCTGACTCAAGAGACGCATTGTAAATAATAAATAAAGGCTTGCATAAATATTTAGCACAACTTTTAAAGAATAATGGTGGTAGTAAGTCAGGACCGGGCCCTTTGTTACAGTCTAGTTTCGATAGGGAATTGAAAATCTCCTTCTCGGTAATAAAAAAGTTACTAATTGTTATGTTGGCAAAACTAGAGTAAAACTGCCCCGACTCATAAATCGATCTTCACCATTATTTCTCCATAACAACGCGAGACCTCATACAGTACGAGAAACCGTTTTGACCCTTCAGGAAATGCAGTTACCATTTGTCATCCTCCGTATTCGCCAGACCTTGCTTCAACGTACTACTATTTTTTTCGTGATTTGGACAATTATCTACGTGACAAGAAGTTTTCTTCCCAGGAGGCAGTACGAAATGCTTTCTCACAGTTTGTGCAGTCTAGATCCTCAGAGTTCTATCGCAAAGGCGTACATGACCTTCCTATTGGATAGCAGCAATGTATATATGTATATAATGGTAACTAATTTGTTTCAATAAAGTTTAAAATTAAACAATATTGATTTTCAGTACAAATCGCCAATTTCATACTTTAACCCCTATTATTGAATCAACTAAATAGGTAAACATAATATTTTAAATTATTATAAAAGTGTATTGCATTACCTGGTCCTTCATTCGCATTCATGTTAAAGAATCTCTTTTTGAAAGCAACATCCAGTGTGCCAATGTTGCGTTTTTTCTGTCTCGCTTTCTCTAAATTATGAATAGTTTTTCGTCTTCCAACATTATGCGGTCCCGATCCAGAATCATTGTCGTAATCATCATCCAAACCGTTTAATTTTTGCAAATCTTTTACTATTGCTATCGCATTCTTGTCTAGAAGAGCATCCTGAGATAAGTTTTCGGACTGCAAAAATAATATATATTATTAACATAAACTTAAATTTAAACATCATTACTAATAAATATTTATATTTTTAAGTACCTTCTTTGTACAGAACCAATTCAATTCTGTGGATGCCAATATATGCGATAGGGTTCCAAATCTATGGAACAACATAGCCGTAAACTGGATCACCAAAATCAACGCAAAGAAGAATACAAAAACTAAACCAATTGGCTCCAGTTGTAAATATTCCTTAGAAATCATTAACTGAAAAATATTGAAATATGTTAATGTTTGTTTAGTGATGAAAAAATATTACCTTAAAACTAATTTAGTAACTGATCTGATTAGCAAGACTATGTAATGAAAACGATAGACAATTAAATATATCTGATAATTTAATAATTAATAAATTATCAGATAATTGTCATATTTAGACAGAAAGTGCTGTTGGGTGAGGTGCATTGATATTTGTTTTGGTTGAAATATGTTAAAGTGATTGCAACGATTTATTTACACATAAAACATGGGTTACTCTGAAAAACATTCCTAAAATACACTGAAAAAATAGAGCCCTAAGATAACCAAGATGCTAAAATAGTTATCTCTAATGTCAGCATGATAGCGTACAAGTATATAATAGTAAATAATATAACAACAGGCTGATTTAAGTAATGAGACATTGGAATCAAGATCTTTAACAATGTTATACATGGCTTAGCTTAAGTAGCCTAAATGTAGACTAGTAGAATCAAGATGTGGAATCGAAATATTTTTTTTTCAGTGTACGTTTTACTATTTCTAATATTTGGAAGTCATTATTTGTTAAAAGATCTATTCACCAGGTTTTTCGAGGTATCATTTACACAAGTGACAAACCCTTATACCGTGTTTAATTAGAAGAATTTCCGCCACCTTAATAGACAGAATAGAGATAAATTAATATAAACTCCACCTAAGAAGGTACGAGGAGTGCTATGGATGTGTTTTGTTTAACATATTGCCACAATCGTAGAGGTATCCCACACTAACACATCGGTAGTTGTGATTACTTTTGGATAGAGGGAATGTTACGCTGTATCTCAATAGCATACAACAGGGTAGGGAGTAAACAAAGGCTTGGATTTCTGATTAGATTTGTGTAGAGACAATAAAGTGATGCCCAAATAATTGAGTGTCTTTATTGTCAAGACTCCATGCGGGTGTGCCATCCCAAGACAGACCGGTTAGAAGAAGGTCGTTAGACTTGTGAAATGACACACATTTCGTAGTAATATTTGGCTATACCTCGCCTGTTTCCTCGATGTATGTAAGGTTTGTCTTTATTCCCAAAGGCCAATCCACGTGGAGTTGATCTTTGTTGAGTTGTAATAAAAATACTATCAATATGAACAAAGCATTGAACATGACAAAGGCAAATACTGACTTATTGCGAAGCTCTATCAAATCGCCGGCAATTCGAGCCTGTAAAATTTAGATAAAACAAAAAATATTTAACAATATGCGTCGACTTTCAATGATGACTGGGAGACCAAGGGACCGTCAACTATCAGAGATACAAATAATATTGTAAGATTTTAATCTGTGAGATTGCAGTTCCGAGTCATCTTTGAAGGCCGATCGCTGCATAGTGGACTCTCACGTTACCTCTTGCGTAACCTCGTCATACGTTAAGTTAGTTTTAACTCCGAAGGGCCATTTAACGTGAATGTTGTCCTTGTTCAGTTGTAGCAAGAATACAATGAGCACAAAGAGAGCATTGACCATAAAGAATGAAAAGACAGAAGAGTCCCGTAATTCTTTGAGATCCCTGGATATACGGGCCTAAAATTATGCAAGAGTTAATATCGTACTGTCTGTGATATCACATAAAGTTGACAGGGGAAATAAATGTCGCCATTTTAGTGTACATTACACTTTATCTTAAAATAGCTATAACTCTTATAAAAGCTATATTAATTATTTTTTATTCGCAATAGCTACTAATATGTTTATATAAAAATTTAATTAATTTCCAAACAATAACATCAACTTTCGATATAATAAGGAGGGTTTTTATCAATGTACCCACAAAAGATCAATATGGAAATCATCAATACTACTACAGCGTATCCCCAGTCAACCTCATTAAAATTTTATAATAAAAACCTGAAATAAGATTTAAATTAAAATGAAAACATACAAAGCAATTCTCTAAAGAGACGGAAAAAAGCGTTTTTTTGTTGCGGATCTTTGTAATTTAAAATAATATTTACCTCTTCTTCCTTATTGGCGTCAATAGGATATAAATACTTATCGAGGAGATCCTTCCAAAACTGTAATTCGGCCGGACTCAAAAAATCAACTTCTCCTTTTTTGAGATCAGGATCTTCGATCCAGTATGGATTAATAAGGTCATCCCTTCTTTCCTTTAACGTTAGATAAACACATTTTTTTAAATACTTCCAACTTTATACAACAGACATTTGAACAGTAGTTAGTATAACTAACTCACCCTTGGTGATGTAGAGAGTGTATCGGTTTCTGAATCTGAATCATCGTCATCTTCCGGTCCTTCTGCTAAGGGGTTTAGTTGGTGGTCACCATTAGTGCTGCCGCGATGGCCTACCGACAGTTTTCGACCTCTATTCAAACCATGAGGATCTACTGACCTGTTACAGACATTCAAAATTATTTACCCATCTTGACATCATATATTAACTCTATTATGGAGTAGACTATTCGCTGATCCATACCTTTCAACGACATCTAGTTTCTTTTCTAATTTCTCTAGTGTTGATGCAATGTGTAATAGTTGTACTTTTTCTTCGTTGCCTTTGGGATGTGTACACAATAGACATTTGAAAAGTCCAGCAAATGAGAATTCGATTGAACCTTCTTCCTCGTTACTGTTTACACCCGATAAGAAACCTAACAATGATTTCTGCTTTGCTTTCTTTTTAGCTTCCTCAGCGTCTTTCTTTTCTTGTTCTATTTCCTAAAAGAAAATTAATATTAGAATTCTACATCTCCAGAAATCCTAAAGAATTATGTCCCATTATTTTAATAGTTATTACCCAAGATAACTAATTAAACCTTTTTAATGTGGGCGTATTTATATATTGTATGAAATTAAGTTTTATATATTAAAGATTTATTGTTCTTAATATTTAAATTTATTCAGTGTTAAAGGTACGTACATTTGTGATCAGGATAGTGTAATATTTAACTCACCTTTTTACTCTTCTTCGTCTGTACCTCACGCGTACCCCAAGATACAACGTTTAAATTTATAACGGAATACAGAATTAAAAGCAGGTACATAGATGGAATAGATAATAAATATATTATACCAGGCACAATACACCAAAACTCTTGAGGATGCAAACAAGCTGCTATAAAGAATGAACTTGAAAGAGCTATTAAGAAAATGGCCGAGGGAGAACCTATACCGTCCTCGCCTAATTGAAGAGCAGTACCGACGATAACAGCCATCATTATCATCGCATATGCTGTTGAAAGTATCTGTGCCACCAATAACTGAAAACGGAAGAAAAGTATATTTATAAGAACAACTATTTACAAACTCATTAATGATAAAAATAGCTACAGTTTATAAAATGAGTGTTGTACCTGAATTTCAGATTTCATCGTGAAACATACGAACATAAAAGTCATGATAGGGTACAGATTATACTCGAACGAAGTCCAATTGTCGATTCTAAATGCGGCCACGAAAGCACCCACCAACATAAGAAATATAGTTCCTGGTCCCAAAATCGTACCACCCATCAACATCATCTGAGGGAAAAAATATGATTATTAAACTTGTACCGAGATGAAAACAGAATATTGATTAGTTTTCAGTGTTTGCTTACTTGGTATGCAATATACGGCGTGGAAATATTATCGTTGATTTTAATCGTGTGTTTGTAGTCCATTAGCAAGTCCATAATATTAGCGATAGTGGAGGGCACCCACCGACGACGTTGGTTATAGAATTCACTGAAACCCTCAGGACAATGAGTGTAGGCATCAGATGCAGCTGAATATTCTACACGGTAGCCTCGTTGTAACAAAAGAGTACACAACCAACGATCTTCACCTGCAAAATAAATAAAAATAATTATTTGACTATTATGAAACATACAAAATGATATATCAGCCAGTATTTCTTTCAAAATTTACAATACCTTGATCGTACTGTACATAATGCCTTGCTTCATCAGAACGGAGTGTATATTTTTTCATTACGTTATCGTCCATAAGAGCTTTTCCTCTAAACAATGAGAAGCATCCTGGGCTACAGAGTACACAGCCGATCATGTGTTCAGTTGCTTTTTGAAGCCAATGGCCAATAGCGTATTCGAACAATTGATACCACACCATAGGACCTAAAAAGTATAAATATATTTATAAATCGTACATAATTATTGACATTTTAAAAAAGCTTGTATATGTTTCATCTTACCTGATCCAACAGGATGAATACGACCACAAGCAGCACCAAGATTCTTGTTCTTTTTCATCAAATCAATGAGCAAACGGACAGCATGTGGTTGGAAGTCAATATCTCCATCAAGGGTCAACAAATAGGTATTTTCAGCCATCACTTCTTTTCGGTCTACCGATATAGGAAGCTCCATTAGACGATGACCGAGTAAGTAGTACATGTACATGACCTGAAAGTATTTTAGTTCATTCAGAAATATTTGACCCATTTTAACTTACTTTTATATTGGAATAATATTTTAAAACAATAATTGTTTCAGATGTCAGTACGACCTCGATTTTTCAAAGCCCGTGGAGTCTTCTAACAGAGGTACCAGATATCTCATATATTAAATAATCTTATAAGTCTCCGGTAGCTTAGTTGGAAGCGCCTTCATTCAGTTAGTGAAAAGGGTTCTTAACCTGGTAACAGTTGTTTATTCTAAATTTACGCTTAAACATATTCTTAATGAAAAATGACACCCATTACACATAAAAAAAAAGCTGAAAAATATTCTTAATACAAAATGCTTAAAAATCCACTTAGTCCCTGGCACCCTGAGATGGGTTATATATTTTTCAGTATGGCATTGTGAATGCAAAATTAATCAAAAATATAATAATTAGAACAAAATTCTCATCTTTATCGAAAGTTTCAATATTTGTAACAATATTTCTTTCTGCTGTTTGGGTGGATGCCTGAACATTGATGAGAATACGCTCTGTAGTAGCGAAAAGTAACAAATGCTTGAAAGATTCGTCAGTCCTGTTAGGTCCTGGGTAGCTCAGTGGTTAGAGCAGTCGCCCGGATTGCGAAAGGTCGTGGGTTCGATTCCCATCTCAGTGTGCCAGGAGCCAAGTGGATTTATAAGCATTTTGTATTAAGGATATAATAAGTAAGCATACTTATTATAAACGTCATATTATATGGTTTATAAGAATATAAGACTATTAAAAATCTTTGACCGAGTACTACCTGGGACCACCGTTTCCTGTGACGAATCTTTGCCTTGTCTTTCAAATGACAAATCATCTTGGTTTTTCCTGGCAAAACCCATGTCAATCTTCCTCCGTATGGTGCCGGGTATTTCTTCGGTGGTCGGATACGTATGTTCGTCTGATGAACTTCGGAGGCTGCTTCGTCTATAGTATCGACTAGAAGTTTTACGAATCGATTCACTTGAGAATCGTCGTCACTGTGATCTGATATTTCGAAAGCGTCGTCCAAGAAAATATGTGCTGCAAAAATACATAAAGAAAATGTTATTTCGTTTAATTTTGTAAATAAATAAAAATTCTGTATCGAAAGCGAGAATTACTTTCGAATTCGTAGTAATCTGGATCGACAACACGCAAATATTTTTGAGCGACCCGGCGAGCGCACTGATCTTCATCCAGTCTCAGAATAGATTTCAAGAACTCCATCATCTCATCTTTAGTTTCGTGCCACATAGTAGCGCAAGCATATATTCTAGTAATTTGATCCGATGATTTGACTGTCTTTGGAGAAGCGCCCGTATTATCTGTATGAACTGAAATAGTCTCGTAATATTCATCACCCTTTTCCTTTTCTATTTCTGCGAGGTCCTAAAAACAAAAAAAAAGAAACTTGATTTAACAATGAATGAATAAAAATATTTGTCGGGTAATCTCTGCTGCATCCACTATAAGATGTTTATTTTTATTATTATTATTTTTGAGAACTAGAAATGTTATTTTGATTAATAGTAAATCATATTATTGAGAATATGGGTGGACTTTCTAAATATATATTTTTTGCAGCAACTGATTACAGTTCAGTTCGAATGAAACAGTTTTAAGATATTACAAGAATTGACTACCATTCTAAGACATCTGAATATATGTTAACCTTCATATGTTTTATATACACCTCGATTTCACTCACCTCAGTTTTTACATCCTTTTGGTCATCTCTCTTACGATTCAATGCCATACTTTGATCTATGAGTAATCCGTTATACATTGGTATTACGAACAGTTTCTCGGTGGATGCTAAACGTTCTGCTTTTGGTGTCCAGATGTGTATAGTGATCCAAGTTTGGGACAATAGCCATAATAACCAAACCCATGCCATTTGTCGAGTTATAAAATCGCTTAAACTAAAAACTGAAAAGAGAAAATTTAAGCAATCAACATAAATTACTTATATTGTGGTATGAGATAAATTTAGTGAATATCATTCATTAATGCAATATACAAATCCTTAATTAATTCGAGTTATTTACCTTGTGGGCTTTCAAAGAATAGATAATCTGGAACTGTTCCATGGAAAAAACAAGTATCTCCTTTCCGCAAACCACAAGCGGCAATTAAAAAATTAACCACCAATGGAATGACTAAATTTATAGGAAAAGCGTAGCTGAAGCCTTGAATGAGAATCTTGCAAGCGAACTTTCCGAAGATGTAGCAAAAATATGCTGCAAATACTTGTATTAACATAACGTAATATGCTGATTTGTATACAGCAGCAACTTCCACAGAATCTCCTGTGAGTGTCGCATTTGCTAAATCCGGTATGACTGTTCCGCCCAGACTAATTTGTACCTGAAATTTACATTTATAATTTACATTAATATGCGTAAGGTGTCTTTGTTCAGTGACACTAGTGACTTATCGTCATAACGAGCTTGTAGCAGAATACTTATCTATAGAGACAAATCGCATGCTGAACTATGGTCCTTTCGCGTTGCTGATTGCATCATAATAAAATAACTTATTTGTAATTGAACGTTATGTGGCCCTTTTAATACTTAAATATATGTTTTATGCTCTTTTTTTCTGTTCTGTGGTTTTATGTCTATCTAATATGCATTTGAGTGCTTTATTAACTAAGATGAACTTACTTCTTCGACGACAATATTATGTGGACCAAACCCTGTGTTAAACATCTGGAAAAACATCGAAGGTTCGTCACCTTCCATCCAAATGCTGAAGAGTATGCACATCATAAAAAGGAGTATTTTCCAAACTGACATAAATCTGTACGTATAGTATCTAGAAGAATTTAACTCATCTTTAAGGCGTCCTAGACTTTTGATGAAACCTGTGAACAAACAATATAAATATTATTTTAAGTCAAAATACGTTAATGCTTTATTATCAAAACAGAACACACGGGTATACGTCAGGTTACCACAATATATCTAATCTCTAGAATGGATTTTGACCTTTAGCCTCAATATATTAAGGTTTAAAATCGAGTAGGGAAAATTTATAGTTTTGTATAGTCTGACTTGCAGTTGACTGTACATATAATTACCTATAGGACTCTGCCGTGTTACGTAGTTCTCCCACCATCCCAACGATATACATAAAGTTGCGATTGGAATCAGCCATAATACTGGTTTATCTTCTGAGAGTGGCCACACAATACATCCTGTAACTTGCGCTACTATTGCCGCCATATCTACAATGACTTTCACGAATCTTTTGTTATCCCTTGAATTTCGCGACAGCAGACCAAGTATAGCAGGTACGAGGCAAAGGCAGTTGGTAATCATAGCTCCTTTAACGACGTCTAGTTCAGGTAAAATAAATATAAATAAGAGGGCCATTCCTATTGTATGCAGAGATTCCGCTATGAAAACCTGTAAAAACACAAAGCAAACATTAGCTAATCACTGGTAGATTATAATAAAAAGAAAAGTTTTGTAACACACTTACCACAACAAATTGTATAAACGATGGCCTCTTCGAAGACTTAAAGAAACATATTCTAACTGAACGGATGAGTGTGCCCAATTCTGGAATTGCAAACGATGCTAATATCGCCCACATCCAGGCTACACGCTCTTCGTCTGGTAAACTCACTAGAAATTGTTTATCTCTACCTGGAAAGAGTAATTATGAATATTTAATTTTAATGAAACTGAAATTTAAAAAGGAAACAGTATGAAGAGAAACTATAAGAAAAGATAAAGAGAAAAATTTGCCTCTCACTTGGCGTCATTTGGAAATTTTATTGTATGCACATATATGAATTTCTTAATTTATTTTGATTAGATTATACCTTTTAGAAATCAATTTTTAAAAAAGTATTTGTGATGACAAAATGAAATAGTTGATATTTTAATTTTAAATGAAAATGAATGTACAGATATATACGGGGTTTCAAAAATCTCCAAAAGAACAAATGCATACGGTTGAAGGTTGAATTATAACTTGAGTTGAATTATAAGCCTTGAAAATGCAGGCTCGAATTCTGCCTAAATATTTCATCAATAGTAAATTAAAATTTTATACAATTAACCCAATCTAATTCATTTTCCTTACCTAAATTCCTATTACAATAAGCTAGCCTCCTGTCCTTACGGAGCTGCGAAGTCATAAAAAGGACAGTGCCTTTGGCAATGACGCCGGAGCCCAACACTACTATAAAGGTGATGAGGTATGCGAACACCTTCATGAAGCGAACTGTGCACTCCAGCCATTTCTGCGTCTCCATGGACACACTGTCCTGTTTTGGCGGGAACTCTCGGAACACGTCCCATCCTTTCGTTTCTTGTACTGTTCTCTGGCTGAAATGTAAAAAAAATGTTGTTAGTATTAGATGCTACTGCATGATTTTCTTATCAAAAAGTAATGTACTTGTGTTATAGAAATGAGAAACAATGACGGCATCACGCCCATACCCAGGCTACAGAGGTAAATTATTTCATTCTACTGTGGTTAAAGTAACATACATAAAATCATTTTTCAATTTTTCTTATAAAGTGAGCTCCGTAGGATTAAACTTGTTGATTTTTTAAATGCTGTGTGTAAGTGTCGATCAAAAGATACAGTGTTGTGATTGTGACAAGTAAACAGTGAATTGACCATTGGCAACCAGAAGATTACGACGAGGACTTATTAAGAGGGTGCCGTTGGCAATTTTGCTTACTAAACACTAAAATTCATATAAGTATTTCGTTAGACTGATAACTGATATTTTACTGTGGTAATTTATGTCATTAGTTCAGTAACTATTCTAACAAAATAATATACTAATAATTTAATCAACGAAGCGTAACAATGTGTTCTATTCTTGTAAATTACAAGTTATAAAAAAACTAACACACATGATCTGATCGGTACTGCAACAAGAAAAACAACTTTCACACGACGAAGAGAGAAATCAGCGCAACATTGCGCTTGCGCATTGCTTCCTTCCGATAAAGTTACTTCCGACTTACAACCTTCAGGTTTGGTTATTGTGTTCAGTGTACTATACCTGTGATTACATCGTAACCAAGGTTATCATATCTACAACGTTATAAAATCATAAGTAGGTAATAAAGTTAATTATTTGCTTCTTCGCTGCGCTGCTACCTTTATTTTAATATAAATTTAGGTATTGTTTATAGACTTTGGTTTTTGAGTTTAAAAAATAAACAATTGGGCTATATGCTTCAATTCTAATGTAATGATTAAATCACAATATGAAACCAATTGAACTATCAAATTAAGCTAGAATCACTTTTCAGTACCTTAGTACATAAAGTTGTTTAGCAAAGTTTATGTGTATCTGTATTATTAGATGAAGTAAGAAATTGTATTACCAATTGAACTATAAAATTAAACTAGAATCACTTTTCAGTACCTTAGTACATAAAGTTGTTTAGCAAAGTTTATGTGTATCTGTGACTGTACTATTAGATGAAGTAAGAAATTGTATTACTTTCCATTGGACTATGAGATCTATGAAATTTCCCGCAATCAATCAATAAACGGAATCTATAATACAATTTTATGTGAAATACAACGGTTACCGTATTCGTTGAAATCTTTCCCACGAGCAATATGAATTGAAATGAAAACTGCTCGACACCGTGAAATGGACTATAAATAACTCACTAGCTACTTTAATAATGCTTAAAGTTAAAAAAAAGTTATTGAAACTCATGCTGCAGTTATTACATGACAGTTCTATATTTAAAATTCTATAGAAATTTTGTGTACACTCAAGAGCATGTAATATTGTATTGACACGAAAAAATATTAGAATATATTTTCACTTTTTATGCAACGACAGTAACATGAAACTGAATAAATAAATAAATTTCTTGAAATAAATCATAGATATGCCACACAATATACTTCGTGCATAGTCAAGAGGCGGTGACTACAATTTCAACATGGTCTTGGTGCCGTTGTGACAATGTTTACGTAAGGTCGGCCGCGGTATGGCTGGTCTGCTGTAACCCAATTATACGTTATGCCTTGCGTCCGCGTACTACTGTGCATTATTATACAACTATCCGTAAATACTAGTCAGTTGAATATTCAAAAGAGATATATTCAACAACAACAAAAAATATGTTAGCTTGTTATATGATACTTACAATGCCTAATAATAAATTTATTGGAATGCATATTCAAACTTTATGTATGAGAGAAAAAAAGAGTTAATCTTAGAATATAGAAAATCTTCAAAATTTCCGATATGGGTGTTCCCGTGGCAACTAGAAGGTAAAACCTACATAAAAACACGCTTAAAAATAAAATATCGCCATGTAAATCTTATTCCAATTTTTCGAGTTTTCAATACAAAATATTGCAAAAGCTTATTTTTCATCAGATAACAAAAATCCTATATGTATCCGCCTATTTATCTATTTTTGTGTTTTTTTAGTACCGTCTCTGACCAACTTGCCTCGTGTGATAGATTTTCTCAAGAAATTTTCTGTCCAAAATTGTAGATCGCAACGTTGCACAGAGACAACACACGGCAGATGAGAGCGGCTTTACTTTATACTATATAGTGATATACTTAACTGAGCTTCAATCCTATTGTTTTTTTTTAATCAATTTGGAGAATAGTTATTTTCTTCTGGTTCCTACTACAATAATTTCAAAATAGAACAACAAGAGAAATATATGATGTGGCATACTAGCGAACACACTGGCATTCGAAAGAAGTCTGTGCAATAATAACAGTGCTGTATTGATATGATTCGTGATATGAATAATTATTATTAAAAATATTTCAAAATATATTATTTTAACTACGGTAAAGACTTTCCATGGTTTCTAAAGTAACAAATACGCAGCAATATAATATTTGTACTATTCCGCGTTTACATATTGAATTTCTAAATCTTACCAGAGTTTGAAATCGCTATTATATAGAACGTGTTCTTACTAAATCAATAAACTATCAAATCAAAAAGTCAACCAACTCAATATTTGACAGACAGGTGGACATGACGTGAATGTTACAACGTTCGACAAATGTGATTTCGATGCGAAAATAACCGCATACAATTCACCTGTAAATACTGCAGTAATGCAATGTTCCATTACTGTAAATCGACGTGTTGTTGTTGGGGACGTAAACTGGTTCTTTTGAGTCCTTCTCGTAATAAATTTTCCGTTCATGATCACTCATTTTCACTTCACAATTTCACTTGACGACTGGGAGAAACGTAACGGAGAAATTTTCACTGTGCATCACTCAAAATGCGACAAGTCGATGAAGTCTACTGCTCATATTTTAGTATTTTGTAATCCTAAACTCTAAGAGAGTAACCAGGATGTGTTATGAACTCGAAATATGTTTAATAACTCATCTTTGTGGACAGTAACCGGAGCGTCCACCACGACAACTGTGGACGTTGTCGGCACGCCACCACGCCGGACAGTAATAAGCTATTGTGTACGTATGAACGGACAAAATGTGAATATTAATTTTTAGAACACTCGGGAGCTTCGAACGGTACGAAAATATTATTAGCGATAATATTTAAATACCGTTTAGACGGCCGATTGAGTCGACAACGGAAATTGGTTTAAGTAAGACTTTTCTGAGATTGGCTACCAATTTTCATCCATGATTACCGCAAAATTAAAATTATTAGATTCTATGAATCAATTTGTTACTTGGGAATATATTTACGTCAATAAATAAATGTTCAATCAAAATTTGTGCTATTACAAATTTTGATTGAACATTTATTTATTTCCATACTGAAGAAAAGAAGCATGCAACTTCTTTTCTTCAGTATGGAAATCCGTATTTATTTTCAAAATTATTTTTATATGTAGGTAACATGTATAAACTTATATGACTCCTTGAAAGCAATAAATCCTAAAAGCAAAAAGTAAGAAATTGCCTATTGAACATTTTAGTAATTAATCTTTTTATCTCGATTACAGTAGGTTCTAAAATAACATTATAGATTTGGAAGTGTATTTTTGAATTTAAAAACTGCGATAACTTAGCCCTTGGGTTTATCCGAAGGTTCAAATGTTCCTCCTGTCAGATGTGAATAATTCATAAATAGAAAAAAGTTAGTAATAGCATAAAGTTTTTCTTGGGGAAACATTAAACAGTATTTTTCTTTAGCTTAATCTAGATTTGAAGAGAATTGTACATAAGAGAAATGTAAATTGTCTTTAGATATTTTTTATTAATCGCATTTCCGCTAATACACAGTCACGGGTACATGTAATCGGTAAAATAATTTTCATGAATTAAAGCTAGTTTGGTTACTTAAACCCAAGAAATTACTTTAAAGAACACTGTGCAATGATTTCATTTCGTTCTGCAGCAATGGGCATGAGAAATCATATCCACGATGAGAACGCTCGATAATAGCGTATGTGGCCCCGCACGTTACTTGCCAATGGCATATTAAGAAATGTGTGTTTTATTGCTCATATTATAATTTAATTGTTTAAATTACTACCAAAGAGAATAGGTATAATCTATATATTCTTGAAATCATCTTTTGTTCTATACTTATGTAAATAGAATTGGTACATAATATTTGGGAAACCGAAAATAAAATAGTGCTAAGTGCGAGGACGCATAAAAGTAATTATTGATTTGAAATACATTTCAAAATCTTTATTTTTTTCATTTTAATTATTAACATCAAATTGACTTATAAAAAATAAAAAAATAAATAAAAAATGTCGTTATATCTCTGTAATATATATATAATTTTCTCGACAATATTACAGAGCCAAATATAACGACATTTTTTATAAATCGGAGCTCATTTCTCAAATGTGGGTTTTCATTCCTAAAAGCCTGCTTAAACTACTACTAGGTATTATCTACTAGTATAGTAGTATAGTATTCAATTATACATGCTCATGGCTACTAAGTATTTGAAATATACTCTATCAATTTCAGTGTAATACAGATGATATCTTTTATATTATTATATGATCCTGATATTTACCACTAGTAAAGAATAAATTTTATGAACAGGTTTCAATGTTACAAAATATATATTTCAATAATATTTTTTCCGTTTCGTCAATACCTACTAAAACAAATGCAGACCTTCCACTTGTACAATAAAATACGGGTATATTTTTTATCAACAAACTGCATGCTATCAACTAACATTTTGGCCAACGTTAAATATTATAGTTCAGTGCAAAATCGTGATTTGATAAATAGCTATGACCTTCCGCCGCACACGATCCAGACCGCGGCGGGCACCGTGTCTAAGCATTCGGCGCCGAAGCCTGCGCCGGCACATGATAACTAACAATAGACCGCTCAATGTCGCTTGGGCTCACGAAA